AAATAAAATGGCTACTACATGAACTCCATTGGTTTTGTGAAAGAAATGCCAAATTTGTCAACACCGTCAGATGTCACCACCATAAGATTTTGTGTTCCAGTGATATATCAAAATACTTAAATGTGACTCTTGAATAAAAGCTTTATAAACAATAACATACTCACTGTTTGTTGTTTGTTTTAATACAGTAATTGACTGATTCAATGTATTTGATAGTTAAAATTACTACAAATTCAGGTTTTCATCACCTCCGTCAGATATATCAATTAACTCCCTCAGTTCTGTCACCTCCGTCAGCTGAATATTTTGATAATATTTCATTATGATATTTTATATTTGTTGTGGAATTATTGGTCTCATGTGAAAGTGTAATCTGTCTGCTAACACCAGAATGTGTTTTGAAATGTTAAAAACATCTTGAATGCTGTTAAAGATAAAGCTGAAATTATATTACACAGTCCAAGCTAAAAAAAAAGCACATTTTGTTAAAAAAGAGAAAAGTTGGGAGGTTGTATCAAAGCATAGCTCAGTAGCTTAGTACATATAAGATACATAAATGTAGTTTCATTTCTACGAGTACAAGGTTTTATTTTTTCAATTTTGCACCCTGTTTTGTCCCACTTCTCAAGAATGACAACACACCCTGAAACATATAAAGAGGCTGAACAAAAACAAGCTGCCCAGTCTCCCTCTGTCCGACACTACAGGAGAGTTTTCAGGGAGTACAAAGAGCACAGTCATTATTTACTGTACTCCCTGTCTCTTTCGTAACCATTAGGCGAATAAGAATAAATATAAAGTGCGTGTGTTTGTGTGTGCGTTTGTGTGGGGTGTCCTGGTATTCCTTACGTTATAGGGACAAAACGTTACCACAAGTATAGTAATACCAATAAATTCTGACTTCCTGAGGACATTTTAGGTCTCCATGAGGGAAAGTTGAAGATGAAGAAAAAATGGTCTGTTTTATTGAGATGCACCTGTATATATATATATATATATATATATTTAAATTAACGTTATTTTGAAAAATCACATACACATTTAAAATTACAAGCAGTATCGGTATCGTTAAAATTGTAACAAAAAGTATCGGTATCGCATGAAAAATATGTGGTATTGCCCATCCCTAGTTCTTTCCCCCGTCAGTCAGGCGACGTGCATGATGGGATGCAGAGGAAGCTGAAATTAACGTTATTTTGAAAAATCACATACACATTTAAAATTACAAGCAGTATCGGTATCGTTAAAATTGTAACAAAAAGTATCGGTATCGCATGAAAAATATGTGGTATTGCCCATCCCTAGTTCTTTCCCCCGTCAGTCAGGCGACGTGCATGATGGGATGCAGAGGAAGCTGAAGTGCATCAGTGATGTGGAGCTGGGAAGCGTGGCTTTCTGAGCTCAGGATGAAGAGACAGCACTGCACACGAATCAGCGACATGACATCAGTGTCACTGTTTAGTCGTTTGGAAATAGAGACACTTTAATAAGAGAGAAAGAGGCTTGTTAAAATCCATTTGAGAAGAGTTCTTCATTCCCGACTACAGGTGCAACACAATAAATCAAGACTATTAAACCTAACTGTAATTCATGATTTCTTGAGTAAAATGCTCAGTTTCATCTCAGGATGTTACAATGAGTTTGCCTTTATGCACAGTGAGCAACCATCTCTATAATGGCAAACAGCTGGTGACTAGAGCAATACATCTAGATTTGTCATGATGAATAATAATGTCTGCAGAAAACCGTTTCGCTCATAAACATGAGTGCAGTGGAGAGATTTATTTTATTTGCATCCAAAGAGAGAAGAGCATTTGAAGAACTCCTGTTCCATGATGTTAATGTTTGTAGACCATTATGTTTATATACGGTTTTTCATTCGAATGCTTGTTTCATAAGCCTTTTCAACATTATGACCCAGTCTGCAGAAGCAAAACTGAAAGTTCAGCATCCGCTGCAATTGCACACAGCTCATGTTTATTCATCATGGCGTGAAAAAGTGCATTTCTCTGGATTGTGTGGCGTGTAAGAGTACGTCAGCGCTCCAGCTGAACCTATAATCAGCCTCACACACTCAGAAGAGCACTTGAAGCCAGGGTTCCTCTGATGCAGTGCTGGAGGCAGAGGGTTCGACTAACACTGCTTGTGCTTTCCTGAATTCAGTTTAGCAGGACTCTGGAGAAGCTTTTTTCAGACAGATGGTATGTTAGGACATGTACGTTCCTACAGGCTCAAATGAATTAACAACAGACATGAAATACATTCTAAATGAGCTTTATTGGAATCCACCAATCATGCAAAACTTCAATCAACTTCCATTTTCCCATCTAAAACACAATCCCATCTGTTCTAAAACATCTGCCTCCGAAACCCCAACACAATCCAACGTGCGTCTGACTCTCTAAACTCTCTCCAGTTAAACACGACATGCAAAGCTGTGATTCACCTACATACGCTTCTGTTCACTACACTAACAGGAATGATTAGTAAAGATAAGCGGCATCTAGTCGGTGCAGAGGATGGCGACTCCGCGCTCGTAGAAGTGATGCGGGTCTTCTTTGGTGGCGATGTCGAAGTCGACGGTGAAGATGAGGTCGGAGCGTGTGAAGTTCAGATACACGGGCAGCGTGACCTGCAGAGAACACGGAGAGAAAGACTGTGAATCAGGAAGGAAAGCAGAAGATCAGAGCAGCGTTCAGGGTTCAGACTGACCATGCTCCTCTTCTCGGTGTTGCTCTGCTTCATCCAGTGCAGCTGCGTCAGCGGCAGTTCAGTGGAGATGCTGGTGGACAGAGAGAGCTTGTTGTTGGCGCAGGTGGCCCCCTGCAGCTTCAGACCTGCGCACAGACAGACAGACAGAACGCTCTGAGACCCAGCAGACACTGACACGCTCCTCATCTCTCTCTCGCGCCGCTCTCACCTCTGATGCCGAAGCTGCAGGCGTCCAGCGCCGCTCCCTGCGCAGACGTCACGTTCACCTCCAGACACAGCTCCTCCAGAGACCAGCTGTTGACCTGAGCCACGTACTGACGCGTGGCTGTGATGTAGGCCTCCGGCACGAACAGACCGCCCAGGTTCACATGGATGTTCTGCAGGAGAACAACAGCCAGTTCAACACTTAGAGAGCTGGAGAGGAGACCACGCCGTCCTGCGAGTTTTCTGCAGCACTTTATTCAATCCAGAATGAGTCCGAGCAGCTTCACAGTGATAAGGAACACCGCACCCAACTGCGTTTCAAAAACCATGTTTTAATTGCGATCATGATTTCTGCTTCTCTTGATTTATTAAGCTTAACTGTCTGCAATAGTTGCCTGCTGACTATTAATCCTGAAACATTTAATTTGGCATGTGCATGATGGAACTTGGATGGAACTGAGTGAAATATTCAGAAAGGAATCAGTCCAGTCTGACCCGTGTTGCAGGCTGGAATTAAACCACATCACGCTGGTTTCTCAAGGTTTCTTCCCCATTTCTGTCACCGATGGAGTTTTGGTTTCTTGCTGCTGTCACCTTTGGCTTGCTTAGTTGGGGACGCTCAGTAACCAAGCTCTTTATAGATTACCCAACCTCATCATTGTTGGCCTTTACACAGTTATTAAACTGCTCTGAATCAGCAATGAACTGATTTCAACTGAATGACTTTTTAGAGCTGCTTTACAGCAGAATTGAACTTTGTTTGCATCACTGAATCACTATTTTCTTGTTTATCACTGTAAAGCTGCTTTGAAACAATCTGTACTGTATAAAGCGCTCTAGAAATAAAGGTGACTTGACTTTGGTAACAAGCTTTCTTGGTTGAGTTTAAATCCTCCATTCAGAGCTTTCCTCTTAAACCGAAACTTCCAGCCCAGTGGTTTACTTAATCTTCCCAACCTGGCAACCACTCACACACTCTCTATGATCTGAAAAATCATGTTAAGTTGGAGTTTAGCGATCTCTATTGAGCTAGTGATAATCGTGTAATACAGCCAGTCTGTTAGCTGTGACTAAAGCATGCGAGTCGATGTTCTCGATCTGTGCCGAGGCTCAGTCCGGTCTGATGTGTGTGTTTTTGACACCTTGAGCTCTTTAGCGCCGCCGCTGGCCGCTCCCTGTGAGATCTGCTGCAGCTGCTTGATCCGCTCGCTGAAGTCTGCCACCCACTGGATGACGGTCATGGCTGCGGGGACGGTGTAGCGGCTCCAGCTGCGGGGCAGGATGCCTGCGGAGCACAGCACAGCGCTTCAGTGACCCGGCGCACACAGACACTGATCTGAAGGGTCAGAGGTCACTCCGCTGACTCACCTTTGACCAGGTCGTTGATGAGCGTGCGCAGGTCGTTGGTCTGCTTCTTCTTGCCCTCGCACACATGCACCACATCGGTGAGATCCTGACGCACGTCCTGCAGCATCCGCGAGCCCATCTTCACCTCGCGCTCGAAGAACCGGAACAGAGGATCCTGGGAAGAACAGACGCTTTCAGGAAGTCAACAACAAAACACGGAGCGTTTGATCAGACACAATCTGAGCTGCCATCGGGGGCACCTTTGCAACACAACTTCTAAATCCTGATTAATCACATGAAATGAAACAATGTGTTCTTCACATTCTCTTAGAAAAGCGCCATTTAAAACATTAGAAAATGAACTGTAACAGTGTTTCTCAAAGTCTGTGAAGCATGAATGAACTGATCATCTGACATCATGGTCGAGTGCACCTGCAGGCCGTACCTTGATGTTCTCCACGGTGCGTTTGAGCGGGCTCACAGACTCCGGGATCAGCTGCAGCCAGTTACGAGCCGTGGTGTGAAGCGTCCTCATCCAGGCCGGCTGCGCGTCAGACGAGGACGTGCTGCGCTGCTTCTTCTCCGTCTCGTACGCCAGATCGTCCTCATCCTCCAACATCTGCATTTTCAGCAGCTTCCCCATCATGTCAATGCCTGAGCGGGAGGAAGGAGCGGCCGCGGGAGCAGGAAGTGAGGTACGGGAGGGAGACACCCACAGGAAGTGAAGGAGGGAGATCAAATTAACAGCTGGACAAAACTTGGAACGTTCAGGCATTGTGTTAATAAGGAGGTTCAAAAAGAGTTACTGGAAGGCTTGCCACGGTCTGATCCGGCTAACACTTGGTGCAAATCAGGAAAACTTTCTGAATGAAGCCGGACTGAATGGAACTTAATTACGTGTAATCGCCTGATGAAGAGTTTCAGTGGTGGACAATTTAATCTGATGCAATTTTTTACTTTTCATTTATAGTTAAAATATCCAATTCAAATAAAACCGCCAGTCAGATGACCCCAAAGCACCACCTGGCGTTCAGTGCACTGAAGTAAAGTGAAAGCGGTGCACCGTGGCAAGTCCAGCGTCTGTTGATCACGAGCGCATCGCTGAGGATGACATGCGTTTGAGCAGGACTGAACTGAAGTGTGAGGAGAAACATGACGCAGGGCTGGTGACATGACGGCAGTGAAATACAGCTACTGGAGGCTGAGGAGACAGAAGGACACCCGCTCCGCTGCGTGCAGCGCTAACGGCTCTAGCACACGCAGCCGAGGAGGCGTGCTCTGATGACGAAAGCCTGTGAAACTGACAGTGACCTCGAGACAGACAGACAGAGAGGAGGCGAGAAGGGTCAGAGTTCAGGAGTAAACACCGTCCTCATGACAGCCCCACAGACGCTCGTACCCTGAGTAGTGAGCAGGACCTTCTCCGCGTTACTCGGCAGACCCAGCCATGATGGAGTCTGAGTGTCCGGCAGCAACTCCACCCAGTGAATGAACTCCTCACGCCTGCACCACAGAAACACAGACACATCTTACAAACACTGCCTTATAACGTGCTTTATCCAGTACCAAGCGTTTCAGCTTCACAGGTTAATGGATCAAAATTCACCAATTATGAAAATATTGTTCCAGCTAAGTAATGAGTGAATCACATGCAGGGCGACTCTGTATAGACTTCTGTCTGAACTGCATTCACAACAGACAATGGATCTTTCTTGCTTGTGAAATTTGACTGTGATCGCATTTTAGTTGCTCTAGCTTTTAACTTCTTTATTTCACCACTGTCTGTAAAGCAGAGCACGACACCAACAGAACACACAGAAACATGATTAAACTGAAAGGTCTGCGCTGACCGGATCCCGTCGGGCATCTTGATGTCCTTGTGTCCGTCCACTTTGAGCGCCAGCTTGAACTCGCTGTCGAAGCTGCTGGTGGTGAAGAGACGCTCCAGGAAGGTGTTGAGCAGCCGCTGGTCGAACTCGTTGTCGATGCGTCCTCCGTAGATGGACTGGGCCATCAGCGTCCTCAGCGCCGCCCACGGGATCTTATCCGGAGAGATGTTCTGCCGGCCCTGCGGAGAACGACAGGCACTCAGTGCCTCACACACAGATACCGATACAGCACAACAGACATGAGGAACAGACTCGAACCTTCGCTGTATCGTCCAGCCAGGTGTCCACCGTGTCGCAGGCCGAGCGCAGATCCGACTCTCCGAACTCGTACTTCTTAGACCAGCCCAGCGGGGCGTAACGCAGGCGCTCCTGGATGACGGCGTGGAACCAGGCCAGGAGGAAGTACAAGCGAGCTCTTTCGTTTGGAGACTGAGAGAAGAGACCGACGGCAGGTGTGAGCAAACAACAACAAACAAACTAAGAGGAGATTCTGAAGTGAACATCTGGCAACATTCAGAAAAAATGCTGCTGATTTAGATTCATCTGAAGAAGCTCACAGACAACCGCAAACACTGACAGAAGACCGTATATCATTATACTCTCACCACGCATCACAAAATGCACATTTTTATCAAAGTGATTTCTGAAATATAACGGTCCTTATGACAATGTCCCGTCACAAATGTGCTATGTTTCGCAGGTCACACAAATAAAGTAAATATGCATCTGATTGAGTGCACTGGAGATCATCTGCAGCGGCTGCACTCACCTTACACATGCGCGCCACAGGAATACTGCTGAACGTGCGCAGCATATTAGCCTTCATCCCGGGAGGAGGCTCGAACACAAAGATACGTCCGGCCCGCAGCAGGTTCACAGGGACCTGAGGGAGATACGGTCAACATCAGACGACTCATTCCTCATGACAGCACACGGTGAGCACAGGAAGTGATGCGTGACCTTGGGGTTGATCTCCATGGTGAGGAAGAGCCGGAAGCAGGCATGCGGCTGCATGGAGTGAAGCTTCTTCTCCAGCTGCATCAGCCAACCGGGAGCCAGATGAACGTTCTCCAGCATCACCCACCTGACACACAAACACACGTCAGATCACGTGACCAGCAGACCTGACCAATCAGGAGTGAGAAGGGTCAGCTGATCTCCTCTCACCTGCCGGACTTCACCGCTGTGTTGATGTCTCTGTCGGCTTTATTGAAGCCTTCGGCAGAACCTGAAGATGGACCACATGTGTGTTACTTCACTAGTTTAACAGGGACTATCCAGAAAGACACTACAGCACAGCACTGAGCAGCAGACTCTCTCTCTATCATTTATACTTCCAGCTGGTAGCTGATTTGCAGAAACTGTCACTGGTTAGGCTTTTACGAAGAACCTAGTAAATACAACCAACTAACAATCTGAAATTTAAAACAGAAAAAATACAATGGAATCAGCTTAAGCCAGTTTTTTTTTTTATAGCATATATTGATTTTTTTTTTTTACACTTTTATGAGTTTTTCTAGACTGTCTAGATGGTTGTGGTCAGTGTTGGGGAAAATTACTTCTAAAAGTAACACATTATGATATTGTGTTATTCCATGAAAAAGTAGCTAATTGCGTTACTTAGTTACTTTTTACGGGAAGTAATGCATTACGTTTCTTTGGTGTTACTTTTTGTCACCTGGGCTGTGTTTGGTCATTTGTTTTTAACAAACAACCCAAACGTTATATTTTTGGCAACTGTAAAGACCCTTTCACACCAAAAGTGAAATGAATAATCCTCAGGCTGAAGGAATAGCCTCTGCACTTACTCCCGATTTCTCTCAACGCAGGGTCAGTGAACCTTACACATGCGCGCCACAGGAATACTGCTGAACGTGCGCAGCATATTAGCCTTCATCCCGGGAGGAGGCTCGAACACAAAGATACGTCCGGCCCGCAGCAGGTTCACAGGGACCTGAGGGAGATACGGTCAACATCAGACGACTCATTCCTCATGACAGCACACAGTGAGCACAGGAAGTGATGCGTGACCTTGGGGTTGATCTCCATGGTGAGGAAGAGCCGGAAGCAGGCATGCGGCTGCATGGAGTGAAGCTTCTTCTCCAGCTGCATCAGCCAACCGGGAGCCAGATGAACGTTCTCCAGCATCACCCACCTGACACACAAACACACGTCAGATCACGTGACCAGCAGACCTGACCAATCAGGAGTGAGAAGGGTCAGCTGATCTCCTCTCACCTGCCGGACTTCACCGCTGTGTTGATGTCTCTGTCGGCTTTATTGAAGCCTTCGGCAGAACCTGAAGATGGACATGTGTTACTTCACTAGTTTAACAGGGACCATACAGAAAGACACTACAGCACAGCACTGGTGGCTTTTACTAAGAACCTAATAAACACAACCAACAAACAATCTGAAACTTAAAACACAGAAAAACTGCAATTGATTCAGCTTAAACCAGATTTTTAATAGCATATTGAATTTTTTTGAGTTTTTCTTGACCGTCTAGATGGTTGTGGACAGTGCTGGGGAAAGTCACTTTAAAAAGTAATGCATTATGATATTGTGTTACTCCATGAAAAAAGTAACTAACTGCGTTACTTTATATGGAAAGTAATTAGTGCTGGGCAACTAGGGTTTGTTCCTTTTAACCGGTTAACCGTTAACCGACCGTGAAGAATTTTGACCGAGTAATACAATCAGTTAAACGGTTTAAAAAGTTTAGTTTTTTTTCTTTAAAATAGTAATTTATCAATATTTAAAAAGGTTTGCTGAATGGTTGAAATACGCTATGCGTATTAAAAAAAAAAGTGTTTTTTTAAAGAGGAAAAAAAAAAACGTCACATTTTATTATTTCATTCAGAAATAGGCCTAATGCCGACACGAAATGTTTACAAACATTATAATAAACACTGTAAATATAGCTAGGCTATTTTAGTTCCCCTCACTCCACAACAAAGCCTTTCAATTAACAGCATTTAGAAAAGAACAAGAATGAAAAAGATAAGAAGCTACAGCAATAGAAATGACAAGCCAAAACGAATTAATTTAGGCTAAAACGAAACTGAAACCAACGTTGCGTCTCTCATTCCACACAAAATCAAATGTTTCCGTATTCGCGATGTATTTGAATGGCAAATTATGATTTATCATGTAGCCTAACTACTTCACTGGCGTTCCAATATCCACGTAAAACAAAATGGTTTGCATAAATCATTCACGGCGGTACCGTGATGACACTTAACGGCACAGATTTTGCCGGCGCAATCACTTGAGGTTTTTCCTTCTAACAGTGGAAGCAACTACTCCTTTTAGTCCTAAAGATAATCGGAATTGTAAAAGGTTTGCCTTTATTTGTGTACATTCACAATAAAAAAAAAATCTTTGTGCTTTTGTAAAATAAGCCTAAAGAAAA